AAGATACTACATCAACACTTCAACGTCCCCGAAGCGGCTCGTATTAGTACTCCAAGAGCACATGTTGGGATCGAGCTAGCGCGGGACTGCACTGAGCAGTAGGTCGGACTTTCACAAGCCTACAGCGTGCCTTGACAGCGGCTCGATATCTCCAAGCACTGCCCCTGTACATATCCATCAATTGGACTTGAGTGAATCATGGGGAGGCTCTCAAGCATTTGACACCGTTTGTGTTGAACTTGCGTGAATGTAATAAGATTTCGACTCTTGATGTCTTTTTGTTTTCAGAAGCGGAAAAGTACTAGCGAGCCTGTCCAATCAGAATGATCCTACCTGACCAAGTTGCACTGAATGCAAGAACTCAGTGGCGAGGAATGATACAAGCGGCGCCGCAGGCACGCGTTCTTGACAGCAAAGAGCCATTCGTGTCAGAAGATTTGGCATCTAATTTCTTACTTTCTCAGGCTTTACTTCTGACATGGGATTTGAGAATGTTAAGGACAAGCAAGGGCTCAGGAAGACATCAATAAGATTTCGCCCAGTATGAAGACCTTTATACGCAACACTTCGACCTGCAGCGCAAACTCGAGGGATGTCAACTTCTGACTGATTTTCGTTCAAGGGCGGGACGGGACTGACTCGCCAAGTTGACACTTGAGTCCCTCCTGCGAATCTGGGGCCTAGTGCCATTTTTTTGCATACAAGACATGGCAGCTCTACATGTGCACCCAAAATACTAGCACCTTGTGCATGGCGTTTTGTCTCGGCAATTTGCAGCAGATTGGAAACCGTCTGCGTGGCAATTAGCGCAAAGTCCCACCAACGCGGGGTGCCATCCACTATGAGAAGCGAAAATGCTATTGTACACCTATTTTCTGCCTATTTGCATGGTTTTTGCCCAACCGGTGGCTGTTAGCGACTAGTTTTTACAGCCAAAAAATAGTTCCGACCAGCTTATGCCTAGCGTTGGCTGGCATTAATAGACATTTCCCGGCCGCATCCTCGAACTCCGGCCGGGACTGGCTATCGATGCCCAATCTTGGCTGGTTTCCCCCGGGCCGTGGCTAAGCAGGGCTATGCGGCGGCTAGTATCTATTAATAGCCATTGGATTGGTCTATCATTTGGCCAGTAAATTGCTAATATATCTTGTTCAGTCATCACAGACAAATCTTAGGCACCGGCGTTTTGGAACCGGGTGTCTATCATGCCTAGTTTCAGATAACTGTGGCTATTCCGGCCGATCATAGCCATCGTCGGTAGGCTCATGCCCATTGTTGTTGCGATAGCCACGCGCACATATACAAAATGGCTATCAATGCCACTGTCTATTAGACAAATACTGGTCAAGGTCGCGGCCTGCTTGTACCGGCCGCATCTACACCCAATTTTGGCGTAGAGTGGCGCCCCGGTGATCGGCGGGACCATGGCCAGTATCACCATCCTAGCCTTGAACTGGGACCTGGTATTCGCCGGGCACTTGCAGACTCAGGCATAAACTAAGAAGTGACGCCCGGTGATCATATTCGGGACTTGGCGAAATTTTGAGAATGTTGGAGTCCAAATTTGACAGAAAGACCAACCAGCGATCCTACCGAGCCACTTATCGCCCCACAAAAGTGCACGGGTGGTGTATCTCCGAGGACTTTCAGGGGCGTGGACTGGCGTGGGTGTGCGGTTCCTAAGCTCAGCCTCACTAGGTAGGTACCGGACAACAACAGTTCACCGGGCATGTGTTTGCTTGTGTTCACTAGCAAACGTGTGCCCGGTAGGTAAATGTTCAGTTATAGGTTTTAGCAAGTCGGAATATGTTGGTGAGTTCGCGTAACCTGTCTGGCTAAGTTGCCAAGTCTATGCTGATGTAATGCTGACGTCATGCCTATGTCTATAACCTGGGTTTGATTCTTCGATGTTGCGCACTTCTTTGACAAATTTGAGGTATTAGGCAAGATTAGCCATATATAGCCGTCGAATAGCGACCAGATTGGGAGTTCCGGGTTAGCATAACATAGCCAAAGGTTGGCGAAAGGATGAATAGCCAGGTTAGCCAACCCTGGCTAGTTTATGCTAGCCTTGGCTATCAATTATGGCTAGTCGGACTACTAGCTGAAACGTGGCCAAGATTGGCCAAGAGTAGACATGCGAATTTACCAGGCAAAATGCTGGTCATATAGGCAAACGATAGTCAGGGTATGGCTAGTGTCGTGCTAATATTGGCCAATATTGGCCTACTATTCGCCTAATTTGTGACAAACCGGCTAGCTGAAAAATAGCCAAGTTGCTTCTCATAGTGATCGACAGATCATCAGAAGCACATTTGAAGTACACTGGAAGTAATCTACGATAATATTTGAGCACTGCGGCCACACAGCTGAACAAAGAATTAGACCTAGGTTGGCAAGAAGGAGTTTACCGATTCAGTTCATGTCCGATTCCCTTGGCCTATTTGGTCGGTGCTTACTGGCCACGCGCGCCACCTTGAGTATCTCGATCCTGTGACTGCTGAAGTTTTGACTATGGCGGAGCTTAGTCTTCGAAGAAACAAATTAGTTGAGCAGCTCAAAGGAGAAGGCCCCAAAGACAGGCAGCTCGGCATTTCACCAACGACTGAGTGTTTGATGTACTCAATCAAACAGTTTGCTGTTTGCCAGCAAGTTCCTAGCAGGTTGGAACGTTGATCACTGACCTGCAGCATCTAACCAAACCTGATCCAAAGTCACATGAAAGTCTCACCTTCAACTCAATCAGGCCTTGAACCAGCTTTAGAGGCTGCCCGACAGCCAGAAGTCGAGTCTCCAAATGCTTTGCTTTCCTGAGCACCGCAATCAGCACTACATAAGTACCAGGCAGCAGGCTGGACCCATTTCTAGAGGCCTGATTATTCAAGCCTTTGATGACCCAGCCGCTTCCCCAATTCGGATGTTTTTGAAAAGTTCCTTGAAAGAACAATACTACAGAAAGACAGAGATCAATGCCCCGATAAATGCGGTCCGTCTCACAGCAATTCATGCCGCATTATTGGACTTGATTGACGCCTCACATAGCGCTAGTGCAGGCGCTCGGGGGGCGCTGGCAGGAGACCGGCAGCCCCTAACTGGGCCCATGCACTTTCTCACCGGCCCAGCTCACCGAGGTATCAGAGGTAGCTTTCTGAGTGCAGACGCAAGACTTATAATGAGGCACCCCGTTCCAGCGGAGCAATGACCTCCAGCAAACCTTCATGGCCTGCGAATTGTCCAGGCCCGCACTTTGCCCGCACTTTGATGCTTAGGGCCTGTCAAAACTCACAGTTGGCAAACTTCAGCGCTCGGACAGAGCTGTTTGGGAGCTGTTTCTGTGAAGATGCAACAGAATGCCGCTCAGGCTCTTCTTGAGCAAGTTACCTAGGGCTGAACGCGTAAAACAGAAGCTGCACAACTACGGTAGGTGAGAAGCGCAGTCTGTATAACCAGGATGATCCCCCAGGTTTAAGCCAGCAGAAGGGGTACCGATAACGGCGACCATAACCTGCCGTACCTCGGGTCCAAGAACTGCAAACGCCCAGCGCCCGCCGAAGCCGTCAGTGATAACGGGGGCATGTATCTTGCAAGCGCCGTGCCTAGTTATTTGAAAGGGTGAATTGCTGGCAGAAACATCAAACTTTACGTTTTAGTTTAAAGCCTTCATGTGCAGCTGATCAGTGAAGAATCTTTTCGGTGGGAGTTGGTTTCCGCAGCTGCTTTCGACTTGACAGCTGCAGCAAGGGCAAGGCAACTTTGGGATGCAGAGGGTCATTTTAGAATATAGCTATTCGGTTGGTGTACGGCGTTCTTTTTCTCAGGTTCTGCTGGACATCTTTGTCCTCAGCCCTTCGTGTGAACCTCAGCAAGGAGCATTGACAATGTGCATTTGAACGATTACAGAGATGCCGCTGGCCGCTGCGCGTCATGCCGACATGCTCCCAACATATGCTACTCTCGATCAGCAGTCCCCATTTCGGGGTCGCAAGGCTGTGCGCCGGCCGCTCTTTGGTTCCAAGCGGAGCGCCTCCCCGTCATGGCTGCAGCGCGGCGGCCTCCTTCTTCTAGCCCTCGTCCTCTTTCTATCCCTCCTAGGTCTCATCAGCGTATTCACCTCCCAATCTTCCCAACATGTTTCCCCATCGTTCTCTGCCAAACGGGCACCAATCAGTCTCCGCAGAAGCCTTCTCCATGAGGCAGTCTATGCCACCAATTTCACATTGACACTATTCACGGCTCCCCGTGAGTTTTCTGGTGTTATGGGAGAAAAGCAGCGGTCTGCATTGGTGTCATGGCTGGGGTTAAGACCGCAGCCCCTGGTGGTGCTACTGGGGGCGGACCCGGAGCTGGGGGAAGTGGCGGAGGAGTATGCGCCGGCGGTCGTGTGGGACAACCGGACGGACACCAACTTTCTGGGTCTGCCGCTCTTCCATAGGTGAGCGCCCTGCTTTGAAAGCGCCTCCCATGGGGTCCATTGTGTGACCAGGGGATCAGAAAGGCAGTTTAGCAGAACTGACGGAACGTACAATCATAGCGTAACAGCTTCTGTCTTCGGCACTGCAAGAAAGCTTCTAGCTGTTTGGCACTTCCTGCCCATGTCTAAGTATCCCTTTCATCAAGCTGGACATCAGGTCCCATTGTGTCGCTCAAGATGTAAAGATACAAGTAACACATAGTCAATCCCGTTAAGTGATTATCAAAGTGCAACGCAAGCTCTTTGAAACACATGCGCACGTTCAAGAAACATCCCGTAGGATTCTGGCGGCCTGGGTTTCCCTCTTCCCAATAGATTCACAAGTAATCCTGAACTAACAACGAGCTGCTTGGAATCCGCAGCATGCTGCTGCGCGCCCGTGCCGCCACCACCGACATCGCGGCTGTCATCGAGCCTGACACCATCCTCCTCCCCGACTTCTCGGCCGCACTGGCGAAAGCCCGCGCGGTGTCAGGGCAGGACTGGCTCATGTCAGCCCGGCGGCGAGAGGTCCACAACTTCCCGTTTCGGGTGGAGGAACTTTTCCAAGAAGACGGCTCGGAGCTTGATTCTGAATCCGACGGAGACAGGAGGGCGCAAGAAGATATAAGGAGGAGATTCCAGTGGGTGGATCCGGAAAAGTTTGACGTGGAAGTGGAGCATCTTTGGGCGCTGGAGTTGATGGACGGAAGTGAGGGGGAGGAAGATAGGTACAAGATGGGGGCGCAGGGCATGCGAGAGTTCGTTCACGAGCGGGGGTCGCTGCACAGGTGCCATGAGGTGGCCGTGTGGGCCTGGGACACTGGAGAGACGCCTTTGCACAGGTAAGGGGATCAGCTGACTCCAGAAAGAGCTTCCGATTGTCGGAGTCTGTGAATCAAGATTTTGGGGGAAATGTTTACTGGGCCTTCACAGCAGAAAACTGTCTGAGTGACCGAACGGGGTTCTTGCTGCGAAGGTAAAGTGAGGGGGCTTTTCTGTTGTTCAAAAGGGCGGGAAGTGCATCTGAATCATGATGCGAGACCCAAGCCATGCCACATTGAGAATCTTATGAAGCAGGCATGTAAGACTGCTTCCGCACCCTTGTTGAGAAATTATCCTCGAAAGGGCTTCGCTCGGGTCAACATCTGAAGGCACACCGTTCAGAGAACGTCCTTTTCATGACAGAAACCGACAAGATCGTGATATATCGTTTCTTCTGTTGCTCCACTACAGAAGACGATAAACGAAAGTAAGGAAAGACGAAAAGGAGTCCTTTCAGAAACAATCATCGAAAGAATGGACCCTTTTGTCTTACGTTTGTATCCATTCCTTCTCGAAGCCAAGTCCAAGATGTTCGAAAGCTGATTAAAGCACTTCTCTCTCCTCTGCAGCGGCATCATGCCTCCCTTTCTGTACACGCGGGGCGCTTACGACGAGTGGCTCCTGCACGAGGCTGTATCCGACGGCCAGCGTCAAGTCATCGACGCCAGCCACGCGATCTCAGCCGTCCGTGTGCTCGGAAGCGTGGCCAACCTGCAGCCGTACCTGGGGCAGACACGTGTCCACTCTCAGAACGGCGAGTACCGAGACACGCGGACGCCCGTCCAAAAGGCCGGGGGCCATTTCGGGGCGCATAGCCAGGGGCGCGCGGAGCATAAGCTATGGAAGGCGGGGCCGAAGGGGGTCGGATGGGAGGTCGCGCTGAACCGCCACCTGGCGCA